ACTGCTGCCCCAGGTAGCACAACCACCACTACTGCTGCCCCAGGTAGCACAACCACCACCACTGCTGCCCCAGGTAGCACAACCACCACCACTGCCGCCCCAGGTAGCACAACCACCACTGCTGCCCCCAATGTCACCACGACTGTGGCTCCAGCCAACACCACCACTACTGTAGCCGTCACCACGACCACTGTAGCGGTCACCACGACCACGGTCGCCCCCACTCCCACGCCGACCCCTACGCCTACACCCACTCCCACCGCATCGTCGGCGTCCACCCTCGGCAGCGCCGTCGCTGTCATGGTCACGGTTGTGGCGGCTGCCACGACCCTCTAGATTCTCTATTGCACATTTCAATACACTCGATCTTTTCTCCACATTACAATTGTTGAGACAAATTTGCCGCTTAATAGTACAAACAAGGCTACGTTTGCGAAAGTGATTGCTGTTCGACATACAGTAGCTATGCTCCATACTATTAATAACTATAGTCCAACTGCATGAGTGCCCTCGCAATAGGGATGCAGGCTGCATCTCTAGAAGTTTCAGGCAGCGCAAACAAGTTGTATTTGCCACAGCGGCATTTAGTGTTAGACCAAACCAGGATATTATTTTATTTTAAATTTAATTATACCCGTAATTATTGCCAATGTCAGTCCAACGTTGCCAAGCCCTTGTACGAAGCGTTGAACAATGCTATGGAATGCATTGTTCAACGCTTCGTACAAGTTGTATTTGCCACAGCGGCATTTAGAAGCTGTTGCAGGTAGAATTGTCTTTGCCCCATCGGCATTTAGAGGCTGTTCCCGGTAGAATTGGAAAATTGCGAAAATTGGGGTGCCAAGTGGATTGTGGAATGAGTTATGGAGGGTCTTGAGTGGCTGTTGCCCATTTCGAAATCTACTTGGGACAACAGGTACTGTAATGCAAGCTGTCGATTTTGATGCAGCAGGTAAAGTTGTTACTATTATTCACACTGTCAATAGTACTCCATACGTAGTATTAATAGTACTTCGTACTATTAATAGTATCTTTGATTAAGAATACTCGAATTGTATGTTTTTTTTCTACCAAAACTCTACTACTTCGAAGTATAATAGTACTAGTACAAATTGTCGAGCAAACTTATTCTATTATTAATAATTAGTACTACTATTATTAATAATACTAATACTACTAATAATACGATACACGTGTTCGTACATCGTACCAACACGACTTCAGAGGAACAATGCAAACGCTCTTTTTCCCACCAGAAAAGTCAAAAATGTCACCTTTCCTCGTTAGGGTATTTCAGACCAACATTCGTATTGTTTTTTTTAGATGTCCAACGAGTCTCACTTCTCATCCAACCTCTCGCATGTTTAAGTTCTGCCCCGAGTGCGGCGTCAAGGCGACGGCTGGCAGCGCCAAGTTCTGTGCTGAATGCGGCTTCCGCTTTGAACAAGGCCAGACCACGGCACCTCCTCCTCTCCCTGCAACTCCAGATGTCGTCAAACCACCCGCTGCCGCCGTTGGAGGATCCATTCCCATGGCTGTGCCTGTCCGCATGCCGTCGTCCAAGTCAGGCACATACGTCCCTGTCGCGCACGTAGTTGTTCCTCCAGCGGCGACGGGTGCCGAAGCACAGACAATCTACGCACAGTGTATGGACACCATCCGCGCCTCGCGTGGAGGAAACAACGAGGCGGGCGTCAAGGCGTTCCGCACCAACTGCAAAGCGTACGGACTCAACGAGGTCGAAGCCACCACGTTCCATGCGAGTCTGGTCGCAGAACTGGGGGCCGAAGCGACGTCGGCGTTGGTGCCGCACCTGGTTCGCCTGATTCCGGACGAGGACAAGCGCCGCGTGCTGCTCGAGGTCGACGCCGCAACCACGACCGACCAACTCCAGCGCATGAGTATCAGCAGCGACGGCGACTCGGAACGCGCGTCGTTCAACGCCAATTCCAAGCTGTGCGTTGCCACGTTCATGACTCTCTATCTGTCCTGATGCCGTGCTTAGGAACCCCAACAGCTCCCGCGGGTTTCTATCTGGACGGTACTCCGACCACCCCAACTGCGACATCTGCCGCGCCTCCTTTGACGTGTACAAGCGGCGCCATCAATGGTACTCCTAGCTCGCTCCATCTTGGTTGGGGTCCTGCACTAGCCATGGTTGTGGGTTGATGACTACTGGTTTCGTAGTCGATTCTGTGGCATGTATGTGTGCAGCGCGTGCTCGCCGATCAAGCTGCTGATTCCACTGGGCCAGGAAATCCCAGGCTGTCCTGGCTACGTCGAAGCCGAGCCCCAACGTGTCTGCATTCAGTGTGCACCTCGCCTCCATCCGATGCAAGACGACTTGGGTATGTATGCACTGCAGTATTGTGTATGTGTTCGTGCTGCTGTTCATCTTTTGTCCGCCCAATAGACCTGTGAAATATGATATATCTCCAAGTTGAAGCATTTTGACTTGATTCGTCTTCATTCTTTATATCCAATCATATTTCAAGCTATGCTTGATTTTTTCATGAGATTTCAACCAATTCCCCCCAAGAATTGGCAAATATCGACGAATAGCACAATACTTGGAATACAAACAACAACTTGCATTATGTGTGTGTGTGTAGTGGCCAAACACGGGATGCTGCATCGAGACAACCAACACCAAGCCGCCGGTCGCATCCACGTGTACACAAGATATATCCATACATCCCAATATATATATATATATATATATATCGTTGAACACTGCCTTTGGATGTTTAGACCGTATAGCTCGACCATGGAGAAGGAATGCCGCAACGCCGCCGACATTGTCGGCAACTTTTTCCGCGACGACTGGGGGGCGTCCAAGGATCGAAGCATCCCCGCGTCGTTCTTGGAGAAGGCGCACGGACTAGCCATCTTGACGATTGCAAAAGCCGGCTTTCTCATCTCAGCCCAAGCCGGCACTGGTCTCGTAATTGCCAAGCTGCCCGACGGGACGTGGTCGGCGCCCAGTGGCATTGGCACTGTGGGTACGACGTACCCATCAGCCAGTTTACCACCCTGTTTTTTCGTAAAACTGAATCGATCAACATTGTTGTTATCACGTAGGTATTTCTGGTGGGTTTGAGATTGGCGGCGAGCTCGTCGAAGTGATGATCATCTTGTACGCAATCACTCACTCCTCCATATTTGGGTTTGATAGATGGATGTTGTGATGTCTACACATACATAGGGGATCCCCGAATGCTGTCAAGGTGTTTCACAAAGCCCAGGTGAATTTGGGGGCGGGGTTAGATATTACGGTCGGCCCATACGGCCGTGCAGCCCAAGCCGCGGCGATGGTTGGTCCGGGGGGGTTGGGCGCCAACTATGCATATTCGCAGAGCAAGGGGTTCTACGCTGGATTGTCTCTGACGGGAACGATCATCGCGGTGCGGAAGGAGCTGAATCTCAAGTTTTACGGACGCAGTTTGGAAGCGAGTGCGATTTTAAGTGGCGACGTACGTCCATTTTAGAACTACATCAATATTATTTTATATTTTTGCAGGTGGAACAGCCAAACGCTGCCAAGCCCTTGTACGAAGCACTGCACAACGCGATGGAAGGCGTCAAGAACCACCGGGTAAATGCCATTCTGAATATTTCACAGACTTGAATGTCATCAACGAAACGTACGGACGTGGGTAGCTGGAAACCGCCCGGCGTGTCGAAGCGATGGGCGCGTGTCGGTCGTGTGGCTGCCGTACGTTTGTCCCGCACACGACCCAAGTGTGGAACAAGAACTGCAAAACGTGCAAACATATCCACTAAGCACACAAATGGACATCCCAAGGCTACTTCCTACCTGTTGTTTGTCGATTAAGTAGACAATCAAGAGTAACGTTAGATGAGATTATTATTGTCGACTTTTCCCCAACATTTGGACTTTTGGGCTGATTCGCCACATGCTACTGTCACGAATTCCATAAATTTAAGTCAATCATCATAAATTGTTAACCTATACGTTTCCCAGGATGTTTCACCATAAATAAGTCAATCATAATAAGCTTTAACTGTTGACCGATACGTTTCCCTCCCGTCAGTATGTTTCACTGTGCATTACGAAAAAACAACTGAAATATGCGAAAATGAAACTGTCACAACACCATTATTGCGCGTGTAACAAAGATACTATTATCATTGATACAGTAGTATTACGAGTATTTGTATTTGTGTAGTAGCGCTAAATCTGGCATCGAACCTGCTCCCGCCGTCATCACCACGTTCGTCTAGTCATTTGCTGCAGATTAAAGTAGAAAGTGTCGTCCCCGTTGATACAGTGTACAGTATCATGGCCCCATCTCACATCGAATACGTGCGTGACTTTTTAAATTTATGTGACGCTGGATGATTTTTCCATACAACAACCAGTACAATGAATCGGTCGATACTTTGATACATACTAAGCTTACTATTATTAATAATACTCCCGGTACTACTGGTAGTCCTTCGATTTGATATTTACTCCTTTAACTCCCGTACGGCCATTTTATAGTACGTCTAAGACGTATGAATTTTGTATTGATTTCATTATGAAAAAGAGACACGATTCTCAGGTTACATTCATTGTACGATCAGAAGTTGATTGGAAAAGTCGTTCCTCCCATACGGATAGCTCGTCGAAAGCCGGAAAGCAAGCCGAAAAATACGTCTAAGACGTATTATACGTTGATGTCGAATTGTTCGTGGGAGAGTTGACAGGATGGAATCGATGGGTGATTTCTGAACAATGGGTAATATATCCGGTGTGATGAGTCCCCAGGGCAGAAGTGGTTGGAGGTAATTGGTTGATAAGATTTGTCACTTGACACAGAGGGTGCAACTTCAACGCTAAAGTTGTTATAGGATTTCTGGTGTGTTTGCTCTGATGTTCGTAAACTGGGCAAGATGAAGAAGAATTCAACTGAGTCGACTGTTACGTCATGGACGTACATACCCACTCGAACAAAAGTTCGATTGTCGAACTTCAACAAATAGATGCCTGGATAGTACTCCGGAGTACAAAAAAGATTGTGACTCCACAGGGAATCGAACCCTCAACTCGCCGGATCATAGACTCCTACTCAACAGCGTTGAACAAACCCCCGTTTCTGTACTGCATTATTTATAAGTACAGAAAGCAACGCCCACCTTGTCTTTGATTATTGCGATAATTACAATGTCTGATTGGCCACTGAAGTTCGACAGCTATTTTAGCCTATCACAGTCACTTTGAAAAAACTTTAATCAATTCAAGAGGTAATAAAATTCCACATCTCATATTGCAGAAAGTTCGCAAAGCAAACATATTGTCACAATCAATTGTAGAGGTCATAAGTATTACAAGGAATATTGTAACATGAACTTTGA